AAATCAAATTGGTAGTAGTGGCAACTTCATTTCGCTCCAAAAAATTAACAGAGGTATATTTTGACACGTGCAAAAACAAAATGCTCAAGAGACATGGTTCAGTCAGAACTGAAAAATAATGTTTTAGGAAAAGTCACTCACGAAATTATTGCACAGGGTGTTTTAAAGTTAGGGTAAAAAACAACCCTTCGATTAACTCTGACCCAAATACTTAAATTTAGAAAAAAACTGAGATTACGAATTGCAGTTGACATATTTATAAACAGTTTGATAAAAAAAATCATAAAAATAGAGCTAAAAATGTGTATTAATTGAATAAATTTATTTAACAAAATAAAGTATTTAGTTGAATAATTTGTCATTTATACCTATTCCTAAAAAACTAGTACAAAAAGATGTGATCGTTTAATAAGTCTGATGAGTCAAGTCCTAAAGCTGTTTTTAAAGGTTCTGCATAATCGAATCCGAAGAAAATGTGAGCTAGACATAAGTGAACAGCAAATGGGATTTCGCGAGGGACTGGGGACGAGAGAAGCCCTGTTTGCGCTATCGGTGCTTTTGCAGAAGTGCAGAGATCAACGAAAGGAGGACACCTATGCTTCATAGACTACACGAAGGCATTCGACTGCGTCAACCACAGGGAATTGCTGAGCATCCTTGAAAGAAGAGGCCTGGATACCCAAGACCTGAAAATTATCCAAAAGCTATACGAACAACAAGTAGCGACAGTAAAACTACAGGACACTGAAACAACAGCAATACCTATCAAGCGTGGAGTTAGGCAAGGATGCGTATTGAGCCCTATGCTCTTCAATATGTACTCCGAACTAATATTTCGAAATGCGCTTGAGGGATCAGAAGACGGCATAAAAGTGAATGGCAGGCTGATTAACAACATGAGATATGCTGATGATACCGTCGTTATTGCAGACACCACTGAGGGCCTGCAAAGACTTCTTGATAGACTGTCCTCGGTGGGCGACTCAATGGGTCTCAGGATAAATACAAACAAAACAAAAGTCATGGTGATAAATAGAGATGCAAGACAGGCAACGGAGGTAGTCGTAGGTGGGACACCAATAGCAAGAGTCTCAAAGTTTAGATATTTGGGCAGTTGGATTAGTGAAGACCTAAACCCAGACATTGAGATCAGAGCTCGAATTGAGATGGCTAGATCAAACTTCCTAAAATTGCGGAACCTACTGTGCGATAAACGTCTCAACATCCATATAAAAGACAACTTCGTCAAGTGCTACGTACTTTCCACACTTCTCTACGGGGTTGAGTCGTGGACACTCAAAGTAAGCGCAATGAATAAGTTGGAAGCATTTGAGATGTGGGTATATCGCAGAATGCTGAGAATACCATGGACTGACCGTGTCTCGAATGAACGAGTTTTAAACCAAATGAACAAGAATCGAGAACTCCTCGACATAATAAAAAAGAGGAAAGCAGCTATTTGGGCCATATCATGAGACATAGCGAGTATGAATTCCTTCAGCTCATCATCGAGGGTAAAATTGAGGGAAAGCGCGGACCCGGACGACGGCAATGCTCCTGGCTGAACAACATCAGAGATTGGACAGGCCTGGACTCACATACTTTGCTGAGAAGAGAGAAAAATAGAGAGGAATTTGCCATGGTTGTTGCCGATCTTCACTGAATGGAGAAGGCACTTTAAGAAGAAGAAGAATTTGTCATGTCCAATTTTTAATCCAATTCAAAGTAAAATTAGGTAATTACCTCGGTAATTACGAAAGTCAAATTTCACATAAAGTAATAAAAAATATCCGTGACACTGTAGAAAAATATAAATACAAGTTATATAAAAAATTCTATAAATAATGCTATTAAATAAAAATATCGAAGTACCTATTTATAAAATTATTTGGGAATAAATAGATACAACGTAACCCTGACTTTGTTTTCAAAAAAAATCAAAATAGAAAACAAAATCTATTTAAAAAATATCACGCTGGTAAAAATAGAAAAAAAAAATAGATGTGTACTATTCAGAACGTTGATCTTTAAAACATTTAATTTAAATTGCAAGATTAGTTGCCAAAGAATACCATTATTTTTTATGGATTTTTATTTTTTATTAATAATATATTTTCGATTATTTAGGTTAAAAAAATTATAGAAAATCTATTAAATAAATAGATCATTTAGAGGAATCAAAAATTTAAATATTTCCCTCAAAATTAATGGTTTTATTTAAGTGTATTTGGTAACAATCACCTGATTCATCTTTATTTCCAATACGTAATGACCCAGAGTAAAATAATCTATTGTAAATGTAATGATTTACCAGATACCTAACTATAACAAGATTTTTTTTAATAATTGATGTAAAGCTACATTTTAGGAAAAGATAAGAAGTCAGAAAAAAAATTGTCATGGTCCTCTCTTAGTATTCATGATACAGGGTGTGATATTAAAATGTTGCAAGTTCAGATACCCCTAAGTGCACTGACAGTTTGTCTGAGAGATCTCTACTAATTAACGAAATAAAATAAAACACCCTGTATCTCCGAAACAAAGCATTTCGGGGCTTTTTTACTTATTTTTACCTGCAGAATATGCTGCTGAAGTTTCTCGAATACTATTCGGACCACCCTGTAGATATTATTTTTCAAAGTACTATACAGGGTGGTCCGAACTGTATTTCGGAAACTTCGGCAGCATATGCTGTAGATAAAAATAAGTAAAAAGTCCGTATAAATGTATGTCCTAAAATGCTTAATTTCGGAGATACAGGGTGTAGAAGTTTCATTTTTATTTCGATTTTTTCCAAATAATTTATAAAGTAACGTCAATATTTGGATGAAAATTGATGTCAAAGAGACATGAGAAATTTGATTTTGATGTCAATTACTGTCCTCCATGCACGCAGCTGTGTAGCTCTAAGCTGTTCAAGAACACTATACTCTCACTCCATTCAATTGAGTCATAAAGTTCAGAACTGTTCCGCGCCATATGGAGGCACCAGGCTATCGCGCACAGCTCCTTTCAGAACCGTTCTGAGTAGCCCCAGAGCGTAGTTGTGCAGCTCTGAAATATTCAAGAACATGATAATCTCACTCCATTCAATTGAGTCATAAAGTTCAGAACTGTTCCGCGCCATATGGAGGCACCAGGCTATCGCGCACAGCTCCTTTCAGAACTGTTCTGAGTAGCTCCAGGGCGTAGTTGTGCAGCTCTGAAATATTCAAGAACACGATAATCTCACTCCATTCAATTGAGTCATAAAGTTCAGAACTGTTCCGCGCCATATGGAGGCACCAGGCTATCGCGCACAGCTCCTTTCAGAACTGTTCTGAGTAGCCCCAGGGCGTAAAGCTATGGAACTTGAAATTCGCGAATGGAGGACAGCAAATATGACTCCTATTTGTAGGGGGCGCCACCTACATATGTGTTTTAACTGTTTTGAAGAGTAATAACTTTTCTTCTGTACCTGTATAAAACTACTGAGTGAAAAAATATACATTTCCGTCATTTTTTACGTAAAAAATGTCTCTTGGTAAAAATCGCTACGAGTAAAGCTTGATTTTCATGCATCCGTTGTCCGACGATACGATGATACGATATTAATTTTATTGGTTGAATTTAAAGACTTCGATTGGTTAAGCGTTTCTAACCAATTGAAGTTTTTAAAGTCAACCAATAAAATTAATATCGGACCATCGTATCAACGGATAACGGACGCATGAAAATCAAGCTTAACCGTTCTCAAGATATTTAGAATAGAAATAGTCAACACATGTCATTATTGACAAAAAATAAATATGCGTTGAGTAGATAGTAATTTGACTGAAATGACAAATTTGGGAAGTTTATATTTTTTTAAATTAATCATGAATTTTTCTTTGAAAGATTGACGATAAAACAGTTTCTGTTGATTTTTTGGCATAAAAACATTTCAAATTTATGATTTCAGTATAATAACTCTTTAGCCAACATGTTTAATTTATGTCAGTGATGACAGCCATGACACGTATTGATAATTTCGGTTCCAAATATCTCGAGAACCATTACTCGTAGCGATTTTTACCAAGAGACATTTTTAACGTAAAAAACGTGGTAAATTTATATTTTTTTACTTAGTAGTTTTATAGAGGTACGGACGAAAAGTTATTACTCTTCAAACCAGTTAAAAATATGTAATATAAAAAAAAACTGAGAATGTCAAAATCTGTTAATTAAAACTAAATAAATATTATGTTCCTATCTTTTGATTGCATGTTCAAACTCTTATCAGTTAATGTTCTCTAGGATAAAAATAAATTACATATTATTTTTATAACACGTTTCATAATACAACAATAATAGTTTATAAACAATGAAAACGAATTAAAAGTTACCTTGATATTCATGTTTCTGGAAACTGCACAATTAGGTAACACCTACGATCAAACTAATTTCTGATAGCACATTTCAAATCTAAAAATACACTTTATTCCTTTTTGAAATGATAAGAATTTTCAAACATGAGTTTTATCACTCTTGTGTGCTTATTCTTTTGCATTGATAGATAAAATGAACAAACTTTATTTTTTCTTAATATTATTTATTGTTATTTCAAAATAATATCAACAACTTACGCACAAATAGATAAGTTCTCATTTCATCATTAGTTTTTATTGACGTAAGTTTTTACCAAACCATATTGCATTTATTATTTAATTGTAATGTAAAAAATTCAACCTTAATTATTCTGAGAACGTTATCTTATAATGCATGTTTATCAAGTGAAAATCAAATAAAGTTTATGTTGCTGACAAATATTTTTTTCTTACAAAAAGTTTTTTTTTGGTAGTACACACTAGAACAAAATAGGTACTTTATATTATATGACTAATAGTTTGCTAACATACATTTAAAATCCCTAAATAATATATTATAAGGATACTTTTATCATTGTTATCTATAGAAACGACGATCTTATTAATACTATTCCTGTAAAAATAGGCATTTTAATTGTTAATACAAAGACTTACCTACCTCTTGACAAAAAACGTTTGGGAACAAAATACTGGTCATTGTTAATAAAATAAATACGTATGCACAAATATAAATGCCTTATTTAGAGACGGTGTGATCCTGAGATTAATTAGGTAAGAAAAATGCAAGTGCACTTATTACTTTTGTTAATAAAAGTATTCTTGATAGTCAGTCAATAAAACTATAACACATAATAACGCAGATATCACAGAACACTATGCACGGAATGAGAAGTTTGGTCTGTTTTGACAAAATATTTGTAAAGCTCTTTTTGTTTTCCGAAAAAATAATCTCAAATGTATCAATTTTGAGTCGACCTTTAAGGTTAGAATTGGAAGAAGTGACGTTGACACGATTGACATTTTGTAACCATAGATTAAAGAAAATTTTTGCAACTACGTTCCATACTTAAGATAAATTATATTTTTTTCTACTAAGTTTTATAACAATCCATTAAAATTGTAGAATCAGCAACATTAACAGTGGCCTTGTTTAATTCTGCTTATACCTATTGCATTAATTTTTCTGCTACTTTAAGAGTTTTCTTACTATTACACCTAATTTATGTAATTTTCTTATAGCTTATCTAAAATATAAAAATATATGATTTATTATATAATTAAGATATCTTAACAGTTATTTTCCACACAACAAAGCACAATATGTAGTATTAAGACATAAAAAATATTATAAAAAAAAATCTTAATATCAAAATTTACCCTTCACCATATTGTCAAGATTTTATTTTGGCATTATTCACAGGAAACAAGAAATTTCTAATATTACAGTAAATTAAGAAAAGAATAATCATAAATATACCAATATCTAATAATACTGCAATGTATTCTGCGACATAAACCACCATCTCCCTTCTAAAGATTAAAAGATAAAACACATAAATATATATTTTTTTAAATTTTTAACACCCAGGAGATCAGACAGTTGGATATGAGCTTTTTTTCTTAAAAATACATGAGCAATCATGCCCTGTATTTTTTTTGGACTATATGTAGAAAACATCCTGTTTACACATAGTGCTCGAAGCTTTCATCGAACAAATTTTGTATCGAAGAGGCAACAAATTCTTGTTTACTCTTGTGTTGTTTTGGGGGTTGGAAATTGTTAAAAATCTACAAAAACATAATTAGTAGGGCATATAATCTTGTCAAATGTGTTTTTAATTGATTTCAATATATATTCTTGTTTTGGGGCATAGAAATTGATAAAAAAACTACTAATACATAATTTGTACAACACAAAATCCTGTTAAATGAGGTTTTTTATTGATTTCAAAGCAAAATTGGTGAAATAAAAGCAAAAAATCTTAGCCATTACATTGACTAAGAAAATGTCTAGTAGAAGTTATAAATAGGGGTATGACTGCCATGTTTTATAATTTATAGATCTAATAGATCTCTATTTAACTAAATATTACATTATTTCGGAAAATATCGAACAACAAAGTTATATTATTAATGGAAGATTCTGAAGGCTACGGAACCGCCACCATATTTTTGAATTTAATTTTAATTTATATTGGTTTAATAGGTCTGAAACTGCTTAATTAACTATATTTAATGGTAATCTATAATTCCTTAACTATTCTAAAGCTTCAACATCTTTTTTAAGGCAAAAATCCATTTTTTATGATATTGACAATTAGGGATATTGGGGTAATTAAAATGCGATATCTTTGTGAATTTTGCTTTATTCGTTTATTGTTTGGTGTCATTTTATTCGGAAAACACGTATCTACATTTCCCTGGTAATAGTTTTGTCTCCAATGTAGCATTATATTGCTAAATTTTCATTTAAACTTGAAATTTAGGTCATATAATTACATAATTTTCCATCGGTAAAACAAAAGAAAAACTCGAGTTGGCGCTCCCTCTAGCGTCAAAAATTAGAAACCGAGCACCAAAACCCAATATTATTGGTCGTTTCGGTCGATTTTCGTCATGCGTCATTTCTAGACGGACCGTTGACGATGATGTCTTTCTCGCTTGTCTCTCCAGATTTTTTAAGGAAAAGTGCCGTTTTCTTGTATATTGTGCTCGGAAATCATGTTTAGTGCATAACTGGACTCTTAGAGAGGGTAAGTTTGACCATTTTCCTACGAATTTCCCGATATTTTTCGAAAAATCCGATCGTCTGAAGGTGACCGGCAGAAGGCGTAGAAGCGCAAGATCAACAAAAAAAGTCAAAGCCACCTTTTTTTGTTATACTTTCCGTTTCTTTCTGTTTACTTTTTTATACTTTCTGTTGCTATAAATAGTTCTTTTTTATTGTTGTACTGGATTAAAATAAATCATTTTCAGACTTAAATAGTTTGATGAATATAGTATTTTAGAAATAAACACCTTATATAAGTGAATAAATTATAGTCAATCAATTTTCTGAACAATTTTCTGATATGGTTTTTCTTAAAGATATTATGTAATAGAAAATAATTATGTAATAATCTTTTATAAAATAATCTAAATATTGTTTAGGAACGTGTAAAACAGAAAAATTACATCTGCTTGTATTTATACTAAATAACATTTAGAAACTTAATATAAGGTAATAATAATTAGTACTTAATATTGTAGGTATAATTGATAGTTTTTCTGAAGCTAGTAAATTTTCTTTGCTAATTCATTAATTTTATTTATTTCTTAGAGACTTTTTGCTTAGGTTTTTATGTTTCTAGACTATGTAACTAAACTAACTATGTAACTAAAAGATATTTTGTCTTGTTTCAGATTATGCCAGAAATTATCCAGGGTTACGGATATCCAAGGACCATGCTGCCAGTGAAGAAGGAGATGACGAATATCAACACAGCAACATATCTTCAAGTCGCAGAGAAACCAGGCTGCCTTTGGATGGAATGGACCAAGGATCGGTATGGGTCTGGACACGTCATATAGCTTAGGTCGTACCTGAGCTCGGGCGCTGTATCCAGACGTGCTGCACTCCGGGAGTGAATGTGCGCCTTTACACATTTTGTCCGGTACCCGGTACAATCGCGGGTAGGGCCCAGCTGGACTCGAGAGATGGTAAGTACGACCATTTTCCTACGAATTTCCTGATATTTTTCGACAAATCGGACCCTCTTAAAGCGGCCGGCTTGAGCAACTCTATTGGCTGAGTGTAACGTTATTTCTTTTCCGATTGGTCGAAATTTTATCGGGCAGTGTATAAAAGTTTTGCCTTTTTTATAATTTCTGCTTGCTATAAAAAGATGTAACTTGTTGTGGATTGACAGTTTTCTAAATTTGATGTTTTTATGGTTGTACAGGATATCTATGTATTAAAATAAATAATTTTTAGACTTAGATATCTTCATGTATATAGTATTTTAGAAATAAAAGCCTTATATAAGTGAATATATAATAATCTCTCAATTTTCTGAAGAATATTTCTACGAGTAGTGCATTTGATTTGGTTTTTCTTGAAGATATTATATAAAAGGGAATACTTATGTATTACATCTTTTATAAAATAATCTAAATAAAGTTTAGAAAGCTGTAAAACACAGAATTGCATCTGCTTGTAGCTGCTTTAATTAGTGAAATATTTAATGAAGAATAACTAGTGAAATTTATATTGATAATCAGCTGATTTTTTTTCTTGTAACTGATCTAAACCCGAAAAGTTAAAATACTGGTTTCTTGTTTTTTAAGTTTGTGAAATATTTCTCTATAGTCTACGCTATTAATTGTGCATTGATTATTTTTTTTTTAAATATTATATTTGCATTCATTTTATTAAAGCACTTGCTAGATGTTGTTTTTTTGCAAAAGATGCATTTAAACAAAATAATATTTAGAAAATTAATATAGGTAGTTTATTGCTATTGATAGTTTTTTTGAAGCTAGTGAATTTTGCTTGCTAATTCAGTGATTTTATTTATTTCTTAGAGACTAATATGTGCTTGGGGTTGATAAACTATAATATCTTTTTGTTGCTTCTGGCAAGATTTTCAAATAGTTTACTGATATTTTATTAACTTTTCACCCACTACTAATCTCTACAGAAATATGTAAATATTTTTATTTTCTTTTTTTAATATCTGCGAAAAAAAATTTAAGGAATGTTATCAGCTGTTTTTTTAATAATGGTACTTTATTGTAAAATTTTATTCATACTCTGTTACACTCTGTCTCTATGATTTTTATCTGTTTTATCTATCTATATTTATTTTTTAAATACTTTTTTATTAAGTAGCTATTGAAATTTCTTGGTAACAATTTTTTAGTACCTATATAGGTTGTAGTTTAGTAGATATATAGGGTGAACCAAAATTACAATATTATTCACCACTCTTTCAAAAACAGACACACTAAGATTTTCAAATATCTACATATATAAACTGCTAATGTTTATCTGTGTCGTCTCTACTGAAGTATCGACTTGCTCTAGAAAGTTGCTTTTTTACTAAAAGATAGCTAATTAGCTCTTCTAAAAACTGTCGTCGCCGGATTTTTTGTTTTTCATTTAATTTAAAAAAAATAAAAAGTATTTTTTTTCTTGATGTCGTGGCGGATGCGCCAGGCTTCAACTAGTTTAATGATATTTTACTATTTCTTGGTCCATTACTAATTTCTACAGAAGTACATATATTTCATAATATATTTTTGATTTATATTTTTTTTGGAGGTTTGGAATAGAAATTTTTAAGAATAATAGCTAAAAAACTATTAGCTGTTTTCAATGAAATAATTTCATTAGATTTTCCTAAAATAATGCTACTTTCCAGGCTATTTTATTGTAATTTTATTTTTATACATAATATATTTTTTAAATAATTTTTTATTAAATAGTTATTTAAATTTCTTGGTCACAATTTTTATTAGCATTCATAGGATCATAGGTATATAGGGTGAACCAAAATCACAATAGATATTATTCACTTCCTTTTTCAAATACAGATCACACGAAGATTTTGAATTATTTTACTGGTGTTTTATTAATTTTTCGTCTTCACTACTAATCTCTACAGATGTATATTTATTGTTTTTTTTTTATAATATTTGTATATACATTTTTAAGAAAAAATATTAGCTGATTTCAATGATATAATTTCATAGGATTTTTTTAATATAGTGCTACTTTATTGTAATTTTAATTTTTTTATACACTTCGTTTTTTTTGGCTTACTTATATTTATATTTATTTTTGAAATTATTTTTAATTAGATAATTTTTTTAATTTCTCGGTTAAATTTTTTTTGGAACTCATAGGTTTCTCGGTCTCAACCAAAATTACAATATTATTCACCCACTTTTTCAAAAACGGCTCACACTATTTTTTTTTGTAGTTAAATCACATTTTTCTAAATTGAGAATAATTATTTGGTTCTATACAGTATACAGGGGGTCCACGGAGCTACTTAACTTATAATATTTTACTATATTTTTTTTTTCTACAACCAATTTGTAAATAAATATTTTTCTAATGTATATATCTCAGTCAATTTGGAAACTTTTTTCTCTATAAACATGTTTTCTCTGTCACATAGAGTAGTTAAAAGTTAATAAGACCTACACTCCTTAACGCCTTGTATAACTGAGGTGTTTTATTGAAGCGCGAATACTGAGATACTGATAACATTTTTAATTTTACATATATTTTTTATTTTAACTTTCAATAACTCCAGTCGTTGATTATTATTCAAGGTTATATATTATTAAAAGCCAGAGGGTTGTTTGGGGTATTTTTGTAAGTTTTTTTCTTTTTTCTTTTTTCAGATCGCAATCGAATGGGGACGCAAAATTGTAATTACCAAACTACACTTACTTTACCCATGCAGACGGCTCATGGAATGCTATCACGTGAAAATCCATCAACGCTCCCAGCTAGTAAGCGTGCGGTTTAATGTCTCTACTATCAGGCTCTAAAGACATGACCGCTGAGTTCGTGTTAGATTAATCCGTCGTTTTACATAGTCTGGGTTCAATATCAAGTGTCACTCTTTTTCTCTAACGCAAATAAAACTCTATAAGAAATGTTTATAGACTTTTATCCATGAAAACAGAGATTTTCATCTCTACATTTGAAAGTATAATTATTAAATTAAATTAATGTCACTTTAACAGAATGAAGTATGTAATAAATGCCAGTACTTTTTAGTGCTAGTATTTTAATATAATAAACACGAGTACTTTTTAGTGCTCGTATTTTTCTAAAATCGATAGACACAAAAAAACAGCGTTGCGGGGTGGTTGCGATGCAATCCGTAGGCTGTGGGTACTGTCGCGAGGGGCCAGTCTCGGAGGCCTGGGACTGTTTCGCCCTGGATTCGTTCGCATATTATTACAGCCCCGGTAACAGGCCGGGGTTCCCAGGTGCTCGTTGCGTTGTAGTTTGCCAGTGGGTATGTTATTCGACCGCTCCATTACCGGGCGTAAGCTTATATCATGCTATGCAGGCTATCCCATGGGGCCGGGTTGTTGTCCTAAACGTAAAGGGTGTTTGGGGAGTGGGGCTCAGCTCAATTAGAGGACTAGGAGGCTTGTAAAGGGGTGCAGTGGGTTGGGATCATCTGGCACTCTTGGACCGGAAAGGGCAGGTAAACGCTGGTCCTTGAGTGTGGGGAATGTGGCTGAAGACGTTACGTTAAATTGTCCGATCGGAACGTCATAAAGCTATGTGGTTATTCTCAGCCTCCGATGTCGTACTAGCGCCTTGCTAGTTAACCACCATAATATAAAGCTTTTACTAGTAAAAGTCTTTATATTTTTACTTCTCCTCTCGAAACTGAAAAACGCAGGCATATAAACTTGTTTTCCGGGTTGCCTCGTTACTCGAAAAATAAAAACCGTTGTCGAATGGTTTTTTCTCGACGACACGGTCAAATTCTTAATCTGATTCTTTTTGAGCTGGGTCGCCCTGTAGCCCGGTGATTTTTGGTCTGGCCAGGGTTCCAAGGAACAAATGTCCTCAGGAATGGAGGACCAAGCTGGTATCGGAGGGTCGAGGCTTGGCCAAGATTCCGTAAAGGTTCGAATTGACTGGAACAACACCCGCCGTGCCTTTGGGTCTCTCCGGTGTTTTGGTATGTCCATTTAAACGGTTTAAGAAGGTTCTATCTCTTGGAGTTATGACCGGTTAAAACCTATTTTTTCTAAAACTTTAACGGCATATGTGCCAGGAAATCGGATCTTTAATAAACCACTCATTTTGCTAAGTATTATTGTAACAAAAATTCATGTTTTTTATTTTTATCAAGTCTCGGTTGTACTGAATGGAGAGTGCTAACGTAATGGAGGTACACATCTTTCTTTTATTTTACTGTTTAGTGCTAGTCTGGTCTCTAACGTTAAATCGAGAGTGCTAAGGCAATGGAGATTCCAAGTCTTTCATTGTTCTAGTGTTTTCTTTTTAGCGTTGTTTGGGATTAGGTTTGCACTAAAAATTTTGAAGAATATAATTTTTACTTTCTGTAATTTTAAACTAAATTTAATCACCCTATTCTAGTCTCTGTAATGTTGAATCGAGAGTGCTAAGGCAGTGGAGATTCCAAGTCTTTCAGTGTTCTAGTGTTTTCTTTTTAGCATTATTTGGGATTAGATTCTCTCTCATAAAAATTGAGTTCACAGCCTTTCTTATTTTAGCGTTTCCTGTTCAGTTTTATTTGAGACTATATTCTTTCTAAAAATTTAAAATGATGCTATTCTAGTCTCTGTAACGTTGAATCGAGGGTGCTACGAAAATAGAGGTTTACAGCTTCTCTTGTTTTAGGTCTTCTTTTTAGCGTTATTTGGGGTTAGGCTATTTCTAAAAATTCTAAATAATATAATTTTAAACAATAATCACCCTATTCTAGTATCAGTGATGTTGGATTCTCTCTCTTAAAAACTATACTAAAAAACATAATTTTTGTTTAAAATAATCTTTTTTACATGGTCTCTTGTGAATGGATGATACAATTACGATCGAAGAGTAACAGCCTTCTTGTTTTAGTATTCCCATTCATGTATAAATTAAGTAAATTCATTCTCTGATTTAAACTGTTTTATTCTCTATATTTTTATATAATTTCAAATCAAATTTATAATAATTTTTATTTAGTTTACTGGTCTTTGAGATGAATGAATTGATAATGCTAAAATAGTGCCGGTTCCAGTCTGGCGTTATTTTAGGGTTTTCTTTTCACTGTTGTAAGAGATTGGAATAAGGGACCATTTCTTTTTTAAACTTTGCTCTGCCCCATCAAATTTTTCTCTGCTCTATCGCTGTATCGAAACTATTTTGCACAACTCTCTATCTTATCTAAACTAATTTTTCCTAATAATCTCATGTCAAAGCGATAGAGCTCTTTCAAAATATAAAATTTACCCTGCGATGGACAGCCAGCACTGAGGGGGAGGGACATACATCTTGACGTTTAATCGGAATGATGGGATGGGCAGTAGTCCAGCATATTCAGCCTAGTGTCAGTGTTAGTGAGGTAAGTCCGAACACACCTCTGTCCATTTCTTTTTCATAAATTTAATTCAAAAATATTTCTATCTTTCCAGAACTATGATCGTGTACGCAGCGTGTGTTATTTGTGAATTTAGTCGGTCTGTGTGTTTAGATGTCCTGCTGCTAAAAAGTAATTCCAGGTTCTGTCGATCCTGATGACGCGTTAAATGGGATTCCCCAGGGACCGTCCGTAGTTCCTGAGGAACCAGGGGCGTCCTTCTGCCCCGCGGTGTGACGACGCTGCTTTTTACGCCGTGTGGCAGGAATCGCCGGTGAAAGGATGTGGAATGGAGGTGAGTTGAATTTATTTGGACTTTCTGGACGCGGACATCTTTACTGATCTTCTTTTTATCGTTGTTTCAGTATGCAGATGAAGAGGAAATGTAGAAGAACCATTTCTAAAGCATAATTATAACGGTCGCGTCGGTTCGTGGTTCTGGGGCTGTTCTAAGGCTTTTCACAGCATTTGAAGGTCACACTTTATTTGCGTTTATACATTCTTTGATTCGAATCATATATAATCCTCTGTATTTCTTGTCGTTTGTAAAAACCACAAGAAATACTATCTTTAATTTTTTTCGAGGTGTCTATTTCTCAAAATAATTTAAACCCAATTTGGCTTATACTCTATTATGTTTAATTTATTATTGAAAAACATTTTTTTTGCTCAAAGTTTAATGAAATGTGTGCCAGGAAATCGGATCTTCAATTAACCACTTTCTTTTTTTTAAGTATTTTTATAACAAAAATTATTATTTTTTATATTTTTATCTAATCTCGGTAGTGTTGAATGGGGAGTGCTAAGGTAATTGAGGTTCACAGCCTTTCTTATTTTGGTGTTTTCTGTTTAGTGTTATTTGGGATTAGATTCTTTCTAAAAATCCTAAAGGATATTATTTTTATTTTCTGTAATTTTAAACTAAATTTAATCACTCTATTTTTGTCTCTGTAATGTTGAATCGAGAGTGCTAAGGCAATGGAGATTCCAAGTCTTCCATTGTTTTAGTGTTCTCTTTTTAGCGTTATTTGGGATTAGGTTCTTTTCAAAAAATTCTAGAGGACATCATTTTTATTTTCTGTAGTTTTCAACTAAATTTCAAACAATAATCACTCTATTCTAGTCTCTGTAATAGTTTTCTGTAGGGCATTGTCATAGGATTAAATCTTATTTTTTGTATAATAATTTACTATTTTTTTAATTATTATTCTCTAATAATTGTATTTACATTTAAAAAAATATTTGAGGTATCATGTTTTTCTTAATAAACTTGTACGTTTATACTAAAACAATTCAAAATATTTTTAATTTTGTTCATGTTTAATATAATAAAACTTAAATTTGATAATTTTAAAATAATGCATTTTGCACATCATTATTGTATTTTGGAGTAAATTCTCTTTGAAAATAAAAATAACTCATATTTTCCTCATTTATTATTATTTAATCTCTAGAGTTCTCTATACAGATTTATCTCGTTAAAGACACCTTAAATCTTTCTTGTTACCTATAGTAGTAGATCTATATTTTTTGTGGCCTTGAGATGTCCGATGTGCAAGGTCTCAGTCGTAGTACCTTCTTCACTAACTGTTGCCTTAAGGTACTCTTGTCCTTAAGGCTGTTTCTGAGGAGGCACGACGACTGGTGCAGCTCTGGAACGAAGATTTTCTGGAACACGACAGTAGGATGGAGAGCATGGAACGAGATAAAATCAGGTATGTTATAAGATTTATTTCTTTTTTATTATTTTCAACTAACGTATTTTTTCTGTTGTTTCAGGTTAGTGAGCGTATATTTTTTGTACAAGAGATGTACATCGTGGGGAATGCTCTGCAAAAAAACGTAAGTTTTTTAAAAATTTTTTCCTGGTTTATTTGGTTGTTCGTTTATTTTCCCGGAGATGGCGTGAGCGCGGTCCTGCAGGAGCTAAAGTCACCTGTGGGGCCCCTCACAGAAGCGAAGCAGAGTGTCGAGTCGACCTCTACCGGGGCTAAAGTCCCCTGTATGAGCGTCCTCACAGAAGCACGTTGGGTTGACTTCTGCAGGGGCTAACGTCCTCTGTGGAGGTTCTTCACAGAAGCAAAGAACACGCTTTTCTCTCGAAAGCAGCAGAGATCCATTGGGTTGTTATGTCTATCTGTCTTTTTATTGGGTTGTTAAGTCTATCGGTTTTTCTTCAGAATGTATTTGATGTTCTTATAGCTCTGTTCATATTATGTAAGTCATATTAAAATCTAGAAAACCTCTAATAGTTATTTTTATTTTCTTAAACATATGTAGGTGTAGGTAATTTTCTTTAACTTCTAAATTTTTTTAACTCACTTTTATTTAATTATTACTATTTTAGAGTAAACGCATGTCAATATCTAGCATTTCGATAACTAAATGTTTAATACAAATAGTCTAAATTTTCTAAATCTATTTTTATATTTTCAATTCAAGTTCAGATATAATTCTAGGCCCCAGAAAAAAGGAATCAAGTTTTTTAAGTTGTGCAGTAGATATTTTTATGACTTTCTAGGTCACTATTAGTATTAGTATTTTCTGTAATTTTAAACTAAATTTAATAGAATAGTCATCCTATTCTAGTCTCTGTAATGTTGAATCGAGGGTGCTAAGATAATGAGGATTCCAAATCCTTTATTGTTTTAGTGTTTTCTTTTTAAGGTTATTTGGGATTCTGCTTATTTAAACTATTAAACAAAAACCTTTTATTGACTATAATTAATATCATTCTTTATATTATCTTAGTCAAATTGAAATCTAGAGAATGAAATTTTTATTTTCTTAAATTAAACGTGTAGGTGTAGGTAACTCACTATAACTTCCTAATTTCTTAACTCACTTTTTTTTACTTATTAGTACTTTAGAGTAAACGCATACCAATATCTAAGCATTTCAATAACTAAATTTTCAATACAAATAGTCCAAATGTTTTAAACTTATTTTTGTATTTTCAATTCAAGTTCAGATATGATTCTAGGGCCTAGAAAAAAGGAATCGAGTTTTTTAGTAGCGCAGTAGAAATTTTTAGGACTTTTTGATGTCGCTATTAGTTCAAGTTTAAATTTTTGAGGTCCAAAACTTAGCAGGGTCATATCTAAGTCTGGTTTATTTTCTTACAAGAGTAGGTCTTGGCGCTCTACAAAGACTGATAGCTTCTATTAGCTTCCAGTTTGAGTCGACATTTTCAGATGATTTTTGTAGGGTTCTTGTGTCTTACAGGTTCGCGCTGGTTGAAGATATACTTTGTTTGAAGCTGTATACAACAGGTCGGAGCTAAATTGAGGTCTATACAATCTCTATATATATATATATGGAAGTCTTTTTTTTTGTTACTATTTTTTTACAGCAGTAGTTCAAGATGCTCCAGTACTATCAGTCATTGTATGAGTCTCCAAGGAACCACAGTAGGGTCATTTTTTGTAGATATCTTTAAGGTTATCTGAATGTCTTACATGTTTACCTTGGCTCATGTTCAGTGTTTCAATTTTTTCAGCTCCAAGCTCTTCAGGGACTAACGTTCTCTGTATGAGCTGCACTGTAGGTATTATGGATTGGTTGTTGCATATCCTTTTTTTTTCAGGGCGCTATATGTGCAATTTTTGGGAGGGTAGTGTTGAGTGATTTTGAATGTGAAAAAAAATATTGAGTGTAAAAAATATAAAGTGATATATACTACAGGTAAGATAGAGAGACGCGATATACCCAAAGTGTTTGCTACAGGTAAAAAAGTATCTTCTTACAGCTTCATACTTTTCTAGATTTTAAAATATTTTTTTTTTATTTTTTAGATAAAATCATCGGCATCGAAACTGAAGTGTACAAATAAAATATATTGGATGTCTAAGTAAGAAATTATTTTATGAAAAAAAAACGTATAAATATGTGGCAAATTTGTGAGTTATTTTGGTAAACCATAATATTTATTATTATAAGACAAAATTCTAGTTTATAATTATATTTGTATTTTTATTGTCATTATATCAATACTAATACTTTTTTCTTTTTTGTATCAAACCTTCTACGGAATATTTATCGGAAATCTGAATTCACCATAAAGTCCAGACCTTCACCATAAAGTCAAGAAAATCTTGGAAAATGGAAAAAAGATATAAATATATGGGCATGGATAAGAATAAAAGATGAAATTTTAAGATATTAGTAGCAGCTGCCAAATTATTTTGGTTTTTGAAATCGCTACTCGCTACGGTGAGAACAGCAATTATTACTTTATAATATTTTTTAACCTTTTTTGTTACCTTTTCTTAAGATTTTATATGAGTATATTATCTTCAAAAAACTAATGTTTATTTAATATTTTAGGTTAAAACTATGTTGGATGTTCCTTCTTGCAAGAATTTGAAGATGGGAGGCAGTTGTGAAGCGATGGACTTACAAAAAATAGGTAAGCATTTCGTTAACTTATCTTGTATCTCCTAAAATCTCTGGTTTCTCTAATATATTATTTATTGATATTTTTCGTTTCATTTTAATGAAGCTTGAATTATATTATGAGGCGATCATTATGCTTCCGATAATGACAAAAAAATGATATCGTTGTCGAAAAAACAGTATTGATGATGCCATGCGCCATTTTTCGAAAAGGGCGAAGGTAATTTATCTTTACCAGTTCCTAAAGGCCAACCAACATTTGTATTTTTGTTTTTATGGTATTAGCTCAGACCGCCGATTTTTTAATCACCCTATACAGGTCACAAGAGTTGACAAATTATGCATTTTTCAATTTCTTTCTTTAATTATTGTTAGTAAAAGCGAATGATTAAATGTGTAGGTATACCTTTGTTTGTACGGTACATGTTGTGTATAATTTTTGCCTAGTCATATTCGCCATTTAATAATAGGTACCTTTTTTGTACCTATCTACCAAGTGTGAATTATAATTAGAGACAAGAGGTATTTTGTGATTATAGTGTATACAGTATGTCTCCGGATTAAATTATTCTTACAAGAGGGGACACTTTTTTATTATTGACATTTTGAAAAAAAGTATTCTTCATTACATTTTTTGCTAGTTCTAAAATTAATAATCTCGGGGAGTTAATCCCGTTTATACTTTTTGAAATTTCCATACCGTTTTAGAGAAAATGTAGTTGTAGTTTGAAATTAAAACCATATACAGGGTGGTCCGAACTGTATTCCGGAAACTTCGGCTGCATATTCTGCAGATAAAAATAAGTAAAAAAGTTCGTATAAATGTATGTCCTAAAATGCTTACTTTCGGAGATACAAAGTGTAGAAGTTTCATTTTTATTTCGATTTTTTCCAAATAATTTCTGAAGTAACGTCAATATTTGGATGTAAATGGTGCCTGCGAGTTTTTTGACATGAGAAATTTGATTTTTATCTCAATATGGCTCCTATTTGTATGGGGCGCCATCTACATGTGTTTTAACTCTATTAAAGAGTAATCACTTTTCGGCCATACCCGTATAAAACTACTGAGTGAAAAGATGTACGTTTTCGTAATTTTTTACGTAAAAAGTGTTTCTTGGTAAATAATTATAATTTATTTCTTATTTCTCTCAGTAAGGAGATAGGAAGCAGCAAGAGAAGGAACATTTTAGTTCTCTCTTCTCAGCCATTACTCGTCCACTGCAGAATGTAGGCCTCTCTCAGTTTCTTCCACTCGTTTCGATTCTGTGCTCTCCTCATCCAGTTCTTACCGGCTACGGTTTGGATATTATCAGTCCATCTTTTAGGAGGTCGGCCGACTGGGCGTTTTGCTAGGCGTGGCCTCCAGCAAAGAAGTCTTTTTGCCCATCTTTCCTCGGACTGTCTGGCCAAGTGTCCTGCCCAAGACCATTTAGAGTTAGCTATCCTCTCTACGATGTCCGTTATCCTCGTCTGTCGGCGAATGTCTTCATTTCTAATGTGGTCGCGAAGACTGATACCCATCATGGCTCTTTCCATAGCTCTTTGGCTCACTCGCAACCTGTTCACACTTCGTGCCGTCATCGTCATAGTCTTCAAACCATAGGTCATGACAGGCAAGACGCATTTGTTGTAAACGTCTCTTTTTAGGCTATTTGGGATTTTGCTTTTGAATATAAAGTTAAGTTTACCAAAAGCTGCCCATCCGAGTTTGATCCTTCAAGAAATTTCGGTTGTTTGATTTTCCTTGCCGAATTTTATGGCATGACCTAGATATATATACTCTTTAACGTTCTCAATCCTTTGTCCATTAACATTAACTTGCTCTTCATTTTCATTTAGGGTTTTAGTTTTAGACAAATTCATTTTTAAACCTACTTGCGCAGATGTGTGGTGAAGTTGTTCGAGCATTGTTTGAAGTTCTTCCAACGATGAGGCCAGGACAACGACATCATTAGCGAAGCGCAAGTGGTTAAGCATCCCACCATCCACCTTAATACCCTTCTTGTCCCAGTTCAGCTTCTTAAATACGTCCTCCAGGGCCAGTATCAAATAGTATCTCCCTGTCGGACTCCTCTTTCCATTTTAATATTATTTGTGATATTTATGTCATCCAGTTTGATAGTCATTGTAGCTGATTTGTAAATAGATGATATTATGCCCGAGTATCTGTAGTCTATTCTGGCATTTTGTAGGGCATCGAGGATGGCGTGTAGCTCTATAGAGTCGAAAGCCTTCTCATAATCCACAAAGGCGACATATATAGGGAAGTTGTATTCGGTGCTTTTCTCTATGAGAGTGCGGACTGCCTGAAGGTGATCCACAGTACTATATCCACTTCTAAACCCTGCCTGTTCCGGGGGTTGATAGAAGTCGAATTTATTTGACAGGCGATTTGTCAGAACCTTTGTGAATATTTTGTAGAAGTGCGAGAGCTGGTCTGGAGTTATCACCCTTTTTGTGAATGAGAGTGATTGTTGCGTTTTGCCATAGCTCTGGTATTCTTTGTTCCATAATGCATCTATTAAAAATTTCCGTCATCTTCTGCAGTAGAAATTGTCCACCAGATCTGAACATTTCGGTTGTTACTCTGTTTTCTCACGGTGTTATTTTTCATTTGGGACAGGGCCTTCCTTATTTCTTCTACGTCTATTTCAGGAATTTCCTCGGAGTTAACATTAATGACTGGGGGTCTAGTGGGTTCGCTGATCGTTGTTATTTGCTTGCTGTATAGTGTTGTATAGAACTTTTCAATCACCGTCAGCATTGAATCTGTGGTCGAGACTAGGTGGCCTTCCGAATCTTTCAGTTGGTAAATTCTGTTTTTGCTTCCGAGTCTGTTCCTTCTAAGTACTTTCATATTGGAATTCTATTCTATGCATTCCTTTATCATATACATTTTAGTTGCTGTTGATTACTTAAGAAAAGTAATTTTATTAAAGGCTAAAGATAAAGCAATTAAATCATCAAAATTAAATCAATATCCAGTTTTAAGTTCTTTTAGCTGCATATTGTTATTTTAGAGCAGTGATTCCCAAAGTGGCTCACGTGAATAACATCAAAACATAGACACCCAAAATCTCATTCAAATGGGGATAACGGTTCATATAATATCTGATCTTTATTTTTTAAGTTTGGTGCTCTCTAACGGATAAACGAAGCATTTTTGTATAGAGGTAAATTGTGCCCAATGAACTTATTTTGATTCGAAAAATATGAAGTAGTCCATAGAATATTGGGGCACCATGTATACCTAACAATGCCTTAAAAAGAAAAAAATGAATACTAGTTTTACATTAGAAAAAAATACCACAGAAAATTAGCTTTGTTTTAAAAGAAGACATTTTATATGATGATGTCTGTGAGACTCTATGTCACCATTAAAGTTACAGAAAGTAGTGCCAGCAGTTAAAAAACTTTCTTGACAATTCATTGACACATTCCTAAAGTACTAAAACAGTAAAATACAACTGCATGACTTATTGCACTATTTTTACTATTTCTAGCAGACTAAACCGCCTCAAGCTTTATCTACCCTTGATCGAAACAGATAATTTAAACAATTTGCTATCTATTGCTCAATCAACCTTGAATGTCCATGCAACCACTCTAACCAGCAAGACAAATCTATTTTAAACAAAAGTCTATCGAGTCCCTGGCCAACTCAACGAAACTATAACAAAAAAATTGCGTCTGACTAATTGCAACTGCACAGATAAGAAAAAGAGACTGCAAATACTGCAATATGCACCGATATGTGTGTTTACTTACTAACTAACTATTCATTTTAAAGAAAAGGAAAGTGACCATGCAGTGCATGGCGCGGTGCAGTTTGGTTCTTGCATTTAGTACCTAATGAACTGCCACCAGGGTTTGGGTACAGTACCGTATACAAAATGATAGTGAAATAGACTAAATTAATTCGAATTTAATCATGTTCTTTAGTACTTTCTTTTATAAAATTCTTCTAGTGTTGTGTTTAGTGAGGGGATCTTTTGGCGAATTGTCGAATGCGTCTCAGGTTTTGGGTGATAGGAATGGGGAGCTGGGAACGGGTGATGAGTTAGTGTCTATTTGGCACCTGTTCGATCAGTACCAGTGGCTGAGAAGAACGGAAAAATTGGAGAATGTCGTCTGTAAGAAGCACATGGAGATTTATGTTAAGAACTTGCGGCAAGAGAAATATTGGGCATTAAAAAGTAAGTTTCTATAAACTTGTTATAATACGTTTGTGTATTTTGAAAAAGAAATAGATATCAAACAACTATATACCGGATATTTTTCAAAAGTGGATCAGGATTGATTGACGTATTCAACTGTTTTCGCTTACTTCCTGTTTCACCGGAAATGACTACAACTTTTGATTTTTGAAATGATACCCTCGGTATTTTTTGACGTTATTTGATAGAAAATGACATACATTCTGATCGAAAAAAAAACAGCGTCGGCGATGGCTGTGAAATGAAAATCGCTGTCATTTTATATGTAAAATTATATGGGGAATGTCATCGATCGTTATTTCCAAGCCAAATGGTCGCCGTTTTTTTTTAGATCATACAGTATCATATGTTAACTTTGACATTTTTGAATATGGTATATTTGAAATTTTAACATGTGGTCCATAACGACAATTTGAATCGAAATACCAATTGTGTGGTACCAAATTATTCGTAAAAAATGCCTTTTCCGCATATGAGCCTATTCTATTTGAAAAAAGTGAAATAATATAATTTAGGATTTAGGATTTAGGATTGAAATTTAAAATACAATTTTTTTTTCAACGAGTTTGTCAAAAGTTGACATATGATATGTCATTTTAATCAGAGTGTCATTTTTCATAAATAAAACACATTATCTCGTTTGTTTTGACAACTGCGAAAAAATCTTAAATAGAAAAGTCTTAGGGAATGTTAAGCAGGGAAACACTACTTAACATTATTTTTTGAACTAACCACTACTACAACGGATCTTATTTTTATAGAAAATCTAAAATTAAGTTGAATAATTTGAATGAAAAATTGTAGGACGTAATAACCACGCAAGCCATTTTTTTAAAACAAAAATCGTAACTTTTTATGATAAACTATTATGTAATTTGTATACCATACTGGTCACTTCATCTGAGTGGTCTGTATTTTAATGCATGCGACAGAGATAAATATAAATGACCGGTCGACAGACAGAGAGACAAAATAAAAAGCGGCATACAGTGTTGCCGGTTTTTTTGTGTGTAGGAAAATGTGATAGGAAAAAATAAATTAATTTAAAAACTTTCATGTATACTACTGAAATGAAGATAATACCGTATGATCGAAAAAAAAAACGGCGTCCAGTTGGCTTGGAAATGAACATCGATGACATTTCCCATATAATTTTACATATAAAATGACAGCGATCTTCATTTCATAGCCATCGCTGACGCCGTTTTTATTCGATCATACGGTATATACAGAGAAGACTACTAGTAACATAGCAAGTTGCCGGACGAATTTACGTTTACCCGTTTTGCGTTCGTATTCGAGATTCACTGCCGGCTAGTCGGCTGGCAAGGTTGCAGTTGTGCTTTGCAGTTGCAGTTGTGCTTGGATGGGTCGGTCATGACAGACTAGGAATACGACTCGAGGAGTGCCGAGTATTTATTATTTTCATTTTAAGTGCTTACCTTCACTTAAGGTAACATTTAAAATGAAAATACTTAAATATTTATTATTTGAGTGTGTTTACAAGCCAAAACTAAAAATAACTAAGTTCTCTAAACCCAAAAAAAAACTAAAATATTACTCTAAATAAAAAAAAAAGTTATAACAAGTGTTCAAAAGGACATTTTTTTGTGCTAGACAGAAGCCTAGGCGGTCGTAAAATCCCCGTCTGACATTGGCTAACATATTAGGGCTGATAGTTTGGAAAACCTCCCGTATTTTTACTTGAAGCTCATCCAGATTATTAGCCCTATTATGACCATACACTTTGGATTTTACATAACCCCACAAAAATAAGTCATTGGGAGAAAGATCTGGTGATCTAGCGGGCCACAAAATAGTTCCATATCCACTAATTAAACGGTTGGGAAAAGTATTGTTCAAATATTCGTGAACAATACGGGCATTGTGGGCAGGACAACCACCTCAGCAATTTGATTACTTGAAAACGTGGGATTTTGATCCGCGGTAGCACAAATGAACACTTGCTTTAACTCCTGTTCTTCATTAATCAACACATCAGGCTTTTTTTGTTTTTGTGGGAACACGAACCCATGTGTTTCAGAATTATTAATAACTCTTGATACAGTAGGTAAAGATGGAATTGGCCTGTCTACAAAAGCTTGTGGAAAAATTGTTTGTATATCCCGATAAGACCTATTTTGGAAATACCATTTTACAATTTGAATTTTCTCACGAACTTCGTAAACATCCATTATTTTACTTAAATAAATTTTACACGAGAACTGTCGCGAGAATCTACGTATTTGTTTTGGCTATTAAAACACGAATAAATACAAATTCTGAAACATTCTTATCGCATATCTACTTATTTTTATTTTATCGCATTTTTTCGCCTGCTTTTTATCCGGCGGACGGGTATACGCTAATTCGTCCGGTTCTGCCTATGTTACTACTACGGTGGTCCGGTCTGTATAAGCTATAAATAATCTATTACAGCTGTAGTAAAATGAGTATCTAACTGGGATAAATAAAGTTGCAAACCTAGATGCTACACTTTTCGTAAACGACTACTTGTGCGGCGGCGGCGGCGGCGGCTTGAAATTTTGATGAAAAATCTGGCAATACCGCATAGAAGAAATGTATCAACCCAACTTTTATTATCTCTTTTTAACACATTTGATTTGTCATTAAGATGTCTATATCACTGTCTTACATATTAAAATCCAGACCACGCAGTCGATGACGGGATCGGTATAAAAAATATTAGCTGACTGAAATGAAGTGAGAGTTTTTTTGTTAATCTTGGTGGTTCGGATGACTGATTGACCGAATGATCTGGTATCTAGATCTGAATATCTTATTTTTGCACTATTTTCCGTTGGCCTTCTATTTTACATTCTACAGTATGTCACTGATTTGCAATGAATATCAATTATTAGAATTAAGCCATAAGCGTGCATGATGTGAGCTGTCAATTGTGGAAGATGGCCGAGTTCCAGACCTAGTTATTTAAAAATTATATTCCCAATTTTTTTTCTTGATTTTTTCCAATATTTTAATAGTTATTTTGCTATTCGGAGCGGAGACAAATCCAATAAATTAGAGACAATTAAAATCGTTCCAGCGGTTCTTGACTGTAATAAATAATGGTGTAACTAACGCGACTTTAGTATATTTATTGAGTTATTGAGAACAGAATACTGGGTGTATTCGGTTTTTACCTCGAGAAATGGTTGGTATTGGTTAAACATTATGATTTTTTTGCTCTAGAAAAGGATTAAAAATATACAATATTCATCAATGCATTAAATCGATGACTTTATTAGGGATGCAAATAATACATCGATATTTCTGAAACATCGATGTTTAAGTAGCAAAACATCGAGGTTTACTATCGATATTTTACTAATGCAAACTATCCATGTATCGATATTTTTTTAACGATTTATAACGACTTTACATCGATTATTTTTGAAGAAACAGAGCCATATATTTTAAAGGTTGGGCATTTTTAAGAACTCCGTTCACTTCAAGGAAAGTGTGAAACAATATTATTGAATGACACCAGATTAACACTATTAATCTGATAGGTAAAATAATGCTATAAACTAACTGAATCACCAATTGATCACATACATATACTAGAATGAATTTAGAAGGAGTGGGAGGGGAGGGGGGGTTAATCTCTAGGACCTTACAGATCTATTGTGTCCCCCTTTCTTAAGTTATAACTCATCATACAGTCCCAGGGCTTTGACAAAAGCCAGTATCTGGTACGGTTTTATAGAGGGTAGTTCTCCATCTCCAATATCAGTCGTACCAAAGTTCATGGCACGAATGGTTGTCGTCTCGGCGCACTCAGTGATGAGGTGTACTGTTGTTTCCCCATGTTCCCCACAGAATCTGCATTCGCCGTTTCTTCTTAGTTTCAATCTACTGAGGTGTTCATTGAGGGACAGTGTCCTGTTAAAAACCCCGTGAAAATCCGAATATTGTTCTTACTTAAACCCAGGAAGATCTTTGATTTTTCTTGATCGTAAGCCCTCAGAAACTTTTTCGAATGTCTTAGACCGTTGCAAGATTCCCATTCCAGGTTGCGGATGGAGTCTTCCAAGTTCTTGAGTCCCGCCTTGAATTGGGTACCACTTGGAAAGCAGAACGGTTCTGGTCCAGTTAGTGGAGTGTTCGCTCCTTTTCTAGCTAGATCATTTGCTTTTTCATTTCCTTCTATCCCTTGGTGAGCAAGCACCCAGAGTAGGAGGACTTTGTTTTCTTTGCCTAATTTATTCAGCTTCTCTATGCATTCTTTGACCAATTTCGAATTGATTGATACTGAGTTGATCGCTTTTAACCTTGTTTGACTATCAGATAAGATGGCTATTTCTTGTTTCCGATAGTTTCTATTTAAGATAAGTTGTACGCATCTTTCGATATCGTAGATTTCTGCCTGTAGGATGCTAGGGTAAGTGTCCATTGGTTCGGAGTATTTGGGTCGAGAACTAAATACTCCGAACCAATGGACACTTACCCTAGCATCCTACAGGCAGAAATCTACGATATCGAAAGATGATCCCTGTTCCCGCATTGGTTTTGGAAGCATCAGTATACCAAGTTATGGTATGGTCTTTTAACTGCTGGGCAGACGTTTCTCTCTTCCAATCCTTTTTATTGCTTAATACTACATTGAGATGTTTCTCAAAGTTGTACGTTCTTGGCATATCGTCCACTGGGAGTTGCAGGAATACATATACTAATAGAAACTATTAGCCGAGCAAAAGACTTCGAACTTCCTCTAGCCATACGTAGCCTTTTAGAGTTCGAAAATGCTTTGCACTAAGGTAATAATAGAAGCGCTATCAAAACCAGGAATAGATAGAAACCAGGTGTTCTATTGAGATTCTTGCCAATATATACAAAGTAGCCAAAGCAAGAGTAATGATATATAAAACAACTCCAGAATTCCCAACTGGCAAAGGAATTCATCTTATAGAGAGACGTAATGCCTCCAAAGCTGTTTACAGCTTACAGCAACACTA